TACAGTGAAACTTGCATATTGATGCAATATGGTGGTTGACCAGTATCCAAATCATAACATATGCTGGTTTGTTGGAGATCAGTGAATAACATCCATTGCTGATGACCACTATCTAAAACACAACATATGCTGGTTTGGTGGTGACCAGATATGCTGGTCTATGCTGTGTGGTGCTGTGGTGGGTTGTGTGTTTTTTTTTTCCTAGCAGCGTTGTGTGTAATTTAACAGTTGCAGCTGCTTTTTGAAGCAGCATGACAGACACAGCTAATGTCAACTTTATTTTGGAGGATTAGCTTGAAAAATACCCTCACTAAAGCACTTTATTAGGTGCACCTACCTTGCATCTAGACTAGTTGTCCATTTTATTAGGTCCACTTGCGATATGAGTGCACCTTGTATAAACCCTATTTCTAGAAAAGTTGGGACATTTTGTGAAATGCAATAAAAACAAGAATCTGTGATTTTGTTCTTTCTCCTAAACACTCCATCACCGCTGTGTCTGATCTTCTCGTTCCAGTGCAACACTCACTGACACACCACCACTGTCAGTGTTGCTGCAGTGCTGAGAACAACCCACCACCCAAATAATACCTGCTCTGTGGTGGTCCTGACCACTGAAGAACAGTGTGAAAGGGGACTAACAAAGTATGCAGAGAAACAGATGGACTACAGTCTGTAACTATTCTTTTCAAAAACTCATAATATCCAAAATTGTTGCAAATGTAGCATTTTGGGATGAAACATTTTAAATTATTAGCAGGCCCAGCACAAAGAGGAAATTGTGTAATGTTCCTGCAAAGTGTTGTTCAAAATTAACCCAAATTTACCAACATTTCAGGCCAATTTACTAAAAATAAAAGGTTTGGTAGCTGCACTTGTAATTAAGCTGAATTTTATCATTTATTTATTTATTTATTTTTTTGTTCAAGTATGCTTTTACATTTTTCTTTGTTTGACAAATATCTAAAAGCTTACACATAGAAATTTCACAAAAGCAGATTAAAGGGAAAATAATATTGAGAAATTCACTTATCAATTGCAATTTGTACATGGGAAAACATGGAATTGGGTATGGACAGTATCAGGGTAGCCCTGGTACTTTAGGGTGATTCATGTCTTTCTTTTGATGTTGCTTCACTAATAGTAATTACAGTATAAGGCCTTAGCAAAACTTGGTGGTCCCTACAGTTAATCTTACAAGACTCTTTGCACATTTATTATCCATTTGTCATGAAACTCAACACAAAACATGTTTACCAGAACGAAAGAGAGGTTGATATATGAACCTAAATCCACTGGATTGCTTCTTTTTGAAGCACTATGTTCAAATATGATCAAGTGAATTATTAAATGTAAATGAGTCTCATAACTCTGAAAAACACTTTAATTTATGCCAATTTATGGCCTTCAGTAATAGAACCACATCCTAATAAAACTGTGTCCTTTATTTTCCCAGCACCTCTAAGCAAGTGAAGCCCACTGAAGTGGCAGTTTCTGCCTCAGATCCTCATTAGCCCATGTGAAAAATAGTATAAGTGTTGACAAAGATGTTCTGAGTGCATAGGAAAGTAGGGAATAGGCACCCCATGGGCAATATTTCTGTTATCCAAAGAAGTGGTGATCAGAAGACATTGCATCTGGAATAGAAATTCACTGCTATTTTATGTCTTTCAACCATGAGGAGGTCCACTTCCCATTAGAGTGCCAGCAGCAGAGGTGCTCAAGAAAGCGTCTTGAATGAATTTATTGAGGTGATGGAGTGTGAATTGGGTGACTGTGCACGTTGGGGTTGAGGTGGCTCAGAGACAGGCTCAAACTGCTGATATACTAATTGGCGGTCTGAGGAAATAAGAAATGGTGGCAAAAGGCAGACAAAGGGGACGCTGAATGCAGTGTGCTCAAACAAAGGCTGAGAGAGAAAAGTGAAATAAAAGATTAACAGGAAGCAAAAAACACTTCCTCTGTGATCATGAGAGGAAGATCAACTTTGTTTCACCTGTTTGCTCTTTGTGGAGCAAACACCTTTTGTTTGGCTTGGAGCCGTTTCTTGTTCAAGGCTTCTTTTTGGCTTTTAAATAGTTTTGGTGCAATTTCTTTCTTGTTTTTCCAGCCTTCTTTTCTTTTCTTTTAAATACTCACCTGGGCTAAGTATCATACCGGTCACCCCTCTACAAAGGTGTGACAAAGGACTGCTGTTTGCCACAGCCTTAAGTAGAGGAGCCCACAGGTGTGCCAGGTTGGGCCTAGTTCCCTGAACTTGTGGCACCTCACAGGCTAGGCCCTTACAGTTTCATTCTTTAGACTGACCAATCCAAATCCTAGTGTCACAGGTTACCATTTTGACACGTCTAAAGATTTCCACCATCAGTTCTCTTTGTGAGAGAACCTAAGAATTGCCACACTCTTTCATTTCTGGGGAGCAATTAGTAATACACACCTTTTGAATATAAAGGTAAATAAATAATACCATTCTGAGCAATTCTGTAAATGTATGGCTCCTGTTTTAAGCTGCTTTGAGTTGGTTATTTACAAGTGTTGACAATGTAATCTAAAACTACCCTTCTCACTGGCTCATGTAAACTAAGCCCTGGTGGTGCAAGCTGAACATTTTGGCGAGCCAACCAGGAGAAGTATTAATCCAAAATCACTTCTCTTTGCAAGATGAACCTAAGCAAAGATATGTTTTGGTCAGTTTTCAGAGGGCCGATTGTGGCTTAAAGAGATGGCTGTGCAAAACACTGATAAAATATCTGGCTAAAATACATCTCAGAACTCCTGAAGTGGCTGGAGTGATTGCATTTAAAGGTTTTAAACACTCAAAGGGAAACACCAGTTATGCTTTAATTTCTGATCTTTATTGATTTATATATTGATTTTTATTGTTGTAGTGTAAATTTGGATGTACTGATTGTGGAAGAGCTAGTTCTAAATGATATTGTTGAATTCTTTCACTCTCAGGATAGCATGAGTTTGTGCTGCATTCCATTTAGCCTGTGAGCTGTTGTGGACAAAACCATCATAGACTAAATCAGTAGAGTATTAAATAATCATAAGTCAAAAGATGAAATAGTATTTTTAGAAATATAAAGCTATTATTTTCAGTTACATATGTACTGCTACATCTACTTACACACTGCACCCACGGGATGAAGGCAGACACGCGGGTGAAGACGGTGGGCTTTTTGTTGCAATCTGCATGAAGCCCAAAGCTGGTCAATCCATGGACAACATAGTTGGTACCAACCAGACAGTTCAGAGGGCCACCAGAGTCACCCTGTAGTGACAGACCAGATCACAGTGAGCACTCTTTAGACTTCAAACTGCTAAGCTTTCAAGGAATGTATAAATATAGGTGTTGGAAAGGGTTAAAGAAAGCAAGTCGCTCTCACATTGCAGCCAGAATTGAAGCCACCACCAGCACAGATCATGTTGTCTTTAACAGAAATGCCCACTAACTGATAGGTGAAACGGCAGGAAGTCATATCTACTATAGGTAGAATGGCCTGCTTCAGGACATCAGAGAGTGGACCACCAGCTGCATGTAAAGGAGAGAGAGGAATAAGATATAGACATGAAGTCCTGGTTTCAGATTTCAGATTAGTAAAAATTGCTTTATTTTACCAAGACTACTTGTCACATCTCAAAGATCCCCTTAAAATGGTTAGATTTCCAATCCTCAGAACTACAACTTGTTCAAAGTAGTTTGTGGGAATGCAGAATATATTTGTGGCCAATTTATTAGTCACCAATAAATGAAGGGAATGTTTATTTATGATTATGGGTCCAATGTGAAAATGATGGTTGATAACTACAACAGATCTCACAGCACCCAAGTTTTGCTCACACACACATTGAAGCCTGCATAGTCACTATTGAACAAACAGTTCCGTTTTTTTCAACAATTGTTTAATGAATGAATCACTCACTGAAGTGGATAGCACAGTGAATAACACAACAGCGCCACACTCAGAAAATCAGAGAATATTGAGAGGCACCAATATGGAATTTCTGGGCTTGACTCAATAAATGATAACACCTTATTGTGGCCAATACCATTCTCATAACCCCATATTTTAAATTATACAATTATTTTAATCAAATTCCAAATAAATTCCAACTAACAAATAATGTTCAACAACATCATTATCTAATGATAAACCTGATACCAAGCTATAAAAAATAGCTGTATAAAAGCATACCAATGTAGTTAAAGGCTGCAGACTAAAAGAACTCCACTCAACTGTAACTTTGCACATCATAATGTATTTTGAAAGACTGAAGATGAGAGAAGTATTTACACATCTTTTTAAATCTATTAAAATGAACTTCAAATTTCACTGCAACACCTCGCCAAGCCATCAGTTCAGAACATGATTTGTATTAGCCTATCAATGTTATTTCACTCGTGATGGAACTTATGATGGAACATGAATGTGGCTTTGCATTTAGTAAAACCGCCACATGAGCTATGAATATCTGAAGATTTTTAGCCATTGTTATATCATTGCTACTTTCTACATCAAGAGAAATCCTGTCATCTGTCACTGTGTCTATAAAATGCTAAAGTCTTGAATGTCTCAGCATTTTTGGAGCATTCATTGTTAAAATTATTTAGTTATTAAAAACTATTTAACAAGCTAAACTACAGTTTTTGATGAAACTGTCAAAATTCATATCAGCAAGTTATATTTCAGGCTGTCGGCAGCAAGTCAGTCACTGATATATCATGCTTCCCTAGCTTTTTGTATCAATATAGGCCATACTAAGGTGTTCATTATGAGTAATGCATCATAAGTAGTTTCTTGATAGTTAGTGAACTCTTCATACTAGTGCCTGCTAATAAGAAGCCTAGCACATAATAAGCCTCAAGTTTATGGGGCTAAACACTACCATGGTTTTAGAACCAAATGTCTTTGGTAAAGAAGGTGAAGCATCAGTGTCCCACCATAAAGAATGTATTTAGCAATACTGGGCAACACTGGGCACAGGTCGTTACTCACTTTCTGTGCTTCCCCAGCCAGTGATGTAGCATGTCCATTTAGCAGAGGGCATTTGGTCTGAGGGAGGCAGGGTAGCCAGCTTCACATAGGAGTTTAGAGTGGCCTCAGTGGACAGAAGGATCAAGGCAATGTCGTTTCTGAGGTTAGAGGAGCATACCAGCTTTATAACACATTTATAAGCATTGAACAATGTATTTATAAAACAATTCTTGAATATTTAAGAACAGCTTCTGGCAATAACCACAAGATGACATCAGATACTTTGTGAAGTAAATGACTTTGTATTGACAGAGAGCACTAACAAAAGTGAGGGACATTTGTTCTGATTACAACGCTGTTATGAAGCATCATTCCTAAGTAATGGATTTACACCGATCAGGCATAACATTTATGAGCACCTCATTGTTTCTACGCTCATTGTCCATTTTCTCAGCTCTACTTACTATATAGGTGCACTTTAGTTCTACAGTTACAGACTGTAGTCTGTTTCTCTGCATACTTTGTTAGCCCCCTTTTACCCTGTTCTTCAGTGGTCAGGACCCCCATGGACCCTCACAGAGCAGGTACTATTTGGCTGGTGGATCATTCTCAGCACTGCAGTAACACTGACGTGGTGTTGGTGGTGGTGTGTTAGTGTGTGTTGCGCTGGTCTGAGTGGATCAGACACAGCAGTGCTGCTGGAGTTTTTAAACACCTCCATTGTCACTGCTGGACTGAGAATAGTCCACCAACCAAAACTACCCAGCCAACAGCGTCCTGTGACCACCAATGAAGGCCTAGAGGATGATTAGCTCATACTGTACAGCAAGAGATAAGCTATCATCTCTGGCTTTACATCTACAAGGTGGACTGACAAAGTAGGAGTGTCTAATAGAGTGGACAGACTGCTCTGCTGTGTCTGATCCTCTCGTACCAGCACAGCACACACTAACACACCACCACCATGTCAGTGTTACTGCAGTGCTGAGAATGATGGACAATCAGTGTAGAAACAAAGTCATAATGTTATGCCTGAGTGATGTATGCATGTGTTATGAAGTCCCTATGTAGGGATTCTTCATATAAAGTGTTATTTTTGTAATTGACCTTAGACTTCTAAGTGTTCATGCCAAAAATAAGGTACAAGAGAGCATGCATTAACACATAGGAATGATGGATCTTCCACAACTGACCCTTGATTCTTGTCCCAGGCGGGGTGGATGTAGGTGCGTTTCACTTTGTGGAGCTGCTCCTTGCCCTCACTTTTTGTCAGGTCATGATCACCAAGAACCACGAGGGACACATTAGCACTGCAGAGGGTAACAAAAAACACATTTTACAAAAAGCTCATTTCAAGCACAGTTCAGGAAAGCAAACACTAACTTTACAGGAGAAGGAAAAAACGTACTTTACTTATAATGCAAGTCAGTGGAACCAGATTATTTTCCAAGTAAATTTTGGTCCATTTGTTTTGGTCCATTCATCATGAAATTTACACACAACATAAAGGGAAACATGCATTTTCAAATTATGTCAAACTGAAAAATGTCAAAAATGGAGATACGAGGTTATGCGATATGCAGTATGAAGTCACGTCTGCTGCTTACGTTTCAAAGCAGTGAGCAGCAGTCAACACCCACTGTTTTTTGATTAGCACACCTCCACATACATGCCTGTAGCGTGAACCTTGTAGGGCTTGCAGAGAGGCCTATGGTAAAGAGCAAAATTAAAAATTGACAAGTACACGCCATGCAGCATGTGCCAGATATTCCGTAGACAATCTACCCAACTTCCAGACCTCTGCACCAAAAGAACAGATATGAAAGCATCCCTCTTGTACTTAAACTGTCATTCACCTGCCATGGCCAAAAGTTAGGTTTTGCCACTTCTCCTCCCACAACTCTGGATTGGGGCTGTGGCTGAGCGAACACTGTCATTGACAGAAAACACAAAATTCTTACCAGAGAGAAAAAAAAGTCTTACCAGAGAAAGTGGAGAAAATGAAGAAAACGGAGAATTCTTACGAAGCCCTTGCACATTCTTAGCACTTCTTACTCTTAATGTTTATTGTCCATCATATAGTTTACAAATGCTTGTATTTTGAATCAATCGGTCAGAACTTACCAAGCGCAGCAGAGGTGGTCAGGTAGATGATTCTGAGCATCTTTGCGGAGATTCGGAACAATATGCCCACCAGAAAATGTTAAAGCCTTTTATACAGTAGGGAGCTTACATCAGGGGAGTTGTTGTTGTTGTTGTTGTTGTTGTTGTTGTTGTTGTTGTTGTTGTTGTTGTTGTTGTTGAAGGATTCTTTCAGTTTTGTTTTCTTCAACAGCATACATTGTCTACAACATGCACAGAAATATCACACAAGGAGATTATAGGGAAAATTATATTGAGAAATTCAACAATCAATGGCATTAAATTTGTCCATGTGAAATCAGAGTCTAAGAACCTTGCAATTGTTGGGTATGGACATTACAAAGCAGGGTACCCCTAGTACTTCAGGGTGATTTAATGTCTTTCTTTTTTCTAGACGATTTTATTTTCATCTTGTCCCAATAATAGTAATTATGCTTGGCCTGCTTCTTTTGTACCACTCTCAAAAGAAGTGAATGACTATGGTGGCTTAGCAAAACACAACAATGGTTCAAATAATTGATCTTACAAGGATCTCTGCACAAAACATGCTTACCAAAATGAAAGAGAAAGGTAGATGTATGAGCCTAAATATACTGGACTGAAGGAACTTTTAACCTTTTTGTTGTGGAACACTTTGTTCAAATGTGGCTGGTTAAATATAAATGATATAATGCACAAGATTGACCAGGATAATGTTTAATTTATGCCCAATAAACCGGCTAGAGTTTTCCAGCTGTACATATACATGCCAATCACAACCTGTTTTTATGTTGTTCTTTAGAACAGACTCTTTCAGAGTGGCCAAATTTTTATAATATATGTTTATAATAAGTTGAATCAAGTATGTTAACCCCTCAATATCCCAGTTTAAATCCCAGATTATGCAATCTATAATCTTCTGAAGTTATTTATCTGAAATGTTTAATACAGAACTGGGCCATGTGACCTTTAGCACCCAATGGAGTAAAGAATCGCATTGTAAACTAAATGTGGCCTCTTGCAATGCCAGTTATGCCCAGTGTGCCAAATACCCCTTGGTATTCAAGGGTCCCATTTTGGTTTGCTGCATATTCACCATAGCTGATGGTGATGCGTCACTCGCAACAAAATGTTTGGTTTAACATTTATTCTATTGCTAATGCTCTTTTCTAATGTGGTAACGCAATATTCCATACATTAATTGATCTCACACATCATCTCTTTTGTCTTTGGTTTGAGAAATGAGTTCATTATTCACTCGTTCCACCAATCTCTTGGGAAACTGGACAAGTTTTCAGATTTTCAAATATGCTGTAGCATATTGTAAAGACCAACTGAGTGAACTAATTTCCTACAGTGCCAACCTTAAACAGACCAGTGCTGCATTGCTAGTTAGTTAAGAATGCCAAAGACAGAAGCTCACTTGTTGTAGGCGAAGCAGCTAAGCAATGTACTTTCCCTGAATTTGTGTTCATGTGTCTATTTTCTCTAATGAGCAGCATAACATCAGTTATTTATTTAAGTTTATTTTCAGGGACCGACCAGAATTTTGATTTTGAAACATTTCAGGGGGTCCAGGGGTTGACTAGGGGATCCTGAACCCTCCAAGACCCCCAGTATTTCACTTTGGTTATATCTGTAACAAAAGAACAGAGGCCTGGTCAAATAGATAAGATTAACAGAAGACTAGCCTTGCACATACTGGGCTTAATGCTCAGAATGGGTTGTAGGATGGCCTTCAGTAGTAGAGCCACAACCTAAGAAAAGTATGTGTGCTTTATTTCACCAGCACCTCTCTGCAAGTGAAGCCCTTTAAAATATGACAGTACTTTAAAATAAACAGTCTATAACCTTGTGGACAGTCTGATCACTCAATGCCTCATTAGCCAATTTAGCTGATGATTTATGTCTCCCAACCATTCTTAAACTGATCAGAACTTGGTGGACAAATGAAATCTTTGACTTTGCATACAAAGGGCCATCTGCAGGCATCAGGGTGTCTGGAGGAAACACTGAAGTTTATAGCCCTCTCCCTAAAAACTATCCAAACCCCCACCTATGCTCACCTCAGAACGATCCTACCCATATGTCTGAAGACCCTTTTAACTAACATTTTAAGTGTGATGTTAATGGAATCTCATGCCACCCTTTTTAAACATCCTGAGGAGACTTTGGACCTAACTCGAGTAAATTCTCTCTGGATACCCATTGGAAATGCAGCAGATTTCACTCTGCTGTATCTGTATTGGGTATAATGTCTGTGACTTGCTCCTCTGCTCAGAGTTTGCTCATGATCCAGTCTGTGCGCATTTGTCTCCAGTGTTGCCTCCAGTGTCTTGTGCATTCTGATTCTAATGAAATACTCATCAGTTTATTGAGGATGCTGTATTCAAACTTAAATATGCAATGCACAAAATGTTGATGAATAGAAAGTGGAATTACATTTTGTTGCTGGAATAATGCAAAATGAGAATTAAATAAATTAAACAATAACTTGTCAGTCCTCATCAGGATGCCAAGCTTCAAAGCAGTTTCTGTCTGGTTGATGGCAAAGATAGGCATTGCATGATTTGCTCTTCCAAGGGTAGGCTGGTCCTTGGCCATCTCTGCCCTCTAGTGAGTTCATCTATGGAACCACTATCAATCTTGTATTGGAGTGGATGATGCAGTCATCTACCTCCTTCACAAGGCTCTTTCTCTCCTGTAGAAGCCTAGGAGCACTGTAAGAATTCTCCAGTGCCTTTAACACCATACAGCCTAGGCTCCTGAGGAACAAGCTGGAGAACAATGGGGTGGGACACCACCTATCAAATTGGATTCTGGACTACCTCACCAACTGACCACAGTATGTGAGGGCACAGGATTGTGTTTCTGACATGGTGGTCAGTAGTGCAGGGGCCTCACAGGGAACAGTCCTGGCACCATTCCTTTTCACCCTGTACACTGCAGACGTCATGTACAGCTCACCAAACTGCCATCTACAGAAGTTCTCTGATGACTCAGCAATCATCAGACTAATTACAGGACAACAGAGAGTACAGAGAACTGACTCAGGACTTTGTGGACTGGTGTCTGAGGAACCATCTCTTGTTCAATGCAGGGAAGACCAAAGAGATGGTGGTAGATTTCTGCAGGCCCAGTCACCTCCCTCCACCAGTGAACATCAAGGGAATGGACATTGAGAGAGTGGATACAGCAATATGTTGATCTAATACGTCTATCCGCACCAGGCGGTCATTGGCGGTCATTGTACCATCTTTATTCTACATGTTGTCCTTACTTTTGTCAATATGGATGGTCCAAGCCATGACAATCACACCCACACTAGTTGCCCCAAGACATTGTTAGTCATTACTTTTAGGGCAGCTCCCACTGACTGTGGGGTCTGTTCAGTCTTTTCTCCACGTTGTTTGATAGATTCTTGCTTCCTTGCACTCATACAAGGACAGTTGGGAAAATGTTGAGAGATGTGTGGGGAAGGCAGAGGAGATGAGGCAGTGATGTAAGATTTGGAGGGGCTTGCTTGGTATTCTCTGCATTGATCAGGGTCTGTAAAATCTATGGGTCTGCGATGTGGAGAAAAGTCACTTCTTTATGATCTCTTTGATTTGCTGTTTGATCTGGAAGAAGATGGTGAGAAAGATGTAGTTGCAACCTAGGGTTGTTTAACTGCTTAGGTGAGGACTTATTCATTGTAGAACACAGGTACCCAACCCTGGTCCTGGAGCACCGCCTAAGTTTTCCTGCTGTAACACACCCACTTTAATTCATATGTTGAGAGCAGGGAAAATACCACCCCTGGACCAGGGTTGAGATTCTGTGTGGTAGAACATCCACTTGCTCTCCTACATATTCACAAATAGATGTGTACTGATTGGACATGGCTCATTCAAGGTGGTGCTGATCTCCTCTAGGAGCTCCTGCAGCTCTGTTTCTTTGTTTTTAGGATAGTCTAGCAAAGAAAAACTATTCTGAATCAACAGTCCTCCTGGCTGGTTTGCTGAAATGTTCACCTTGCACCACTAGGGCTTAGTTTACTGGTGATAATGGTGGCGTTTGATTAAACTCATAAAAATATGACAGGGCCATAGTGTCAGCTAACAAATACCTACCCATAACCATCTTAAAACAGCTTGAACAGGATTCATAAACTTACAGAATTGCTGTTTTTTTATTATCTTTTTCATGCAAAGGTATGTATAACTCAATGCCTACTTCAATACGTTAAGTACTTAGGTTCTTCTTATTGAGAGAGATGAATGTGAATTAATTAATGCTTTTCCCGGCTGGCTTGCCAAAATGTCAAGCCTGTGAAACTAGGTTTCAGACTGGTCCGTCTGATGAATAATACAGGCACTAGCATAAGCTTTAGGGGCTTAAGCGATTTGCTCTAGATCACTGTAAAAATACAACAACTCGAGCAGCTGTTAAGAACTTTGAGTCTCTGCTGCTGTCTCTCTAATGCGAGGTTCACCTCCACATAGTTGCAAGACAGAAAATGACAGCTAAATTGCTATTTCAGTTACAATGTGTTCTTCACATTAATTCTTTGGAAAACAGACAGATAGAAATGTTGCCCATGGGGTGCCTATATTCTACTATTCTGTACATTCACAAACTCATTGTAAATAAATAACTGTAAATGTAGACCACACTGAGTAAAAGAAAATGGTGCAAGCAGGGAAACTCTGTGCCTAATAACATTGAGCAATAGACACTCCCAACTGGTGAGACACTCCCTTCAACTTCAGACAAAATAGAAAATAAGCTACTCCAAACAAGCTGTCTTGAAGGATTTACAGCTGATTAAATACTAATTCAATTTAAAAGCGAATCGTAAATCTTCTTTTCTGACCTTTTAATTTACTTGATTCAACACATTGTAAGTCTCTCATTTAAATACTGAATCATTCACAATATGGCCAAAAGTATGTGGACATCCTTCCTAATTATCAACTTCAGTTGTACAAAATTAAGCACATAACCATGCAAAGTGACTTAAAACATGGCACTGTCATAGGATGCCAAGTTGGCAACAAGTCAGTTTCTGCCAAGCTAGATCTGCCCCAGTCAGCTTTAAGTGCTATTGTGAAATGGAAGTGTCTAGGGGCGACAACAGCTCTGCCACAAAATGGTCCACTTACTACAGAGTTCCAAACTGCCTCTGAAAGCAACATCAGTACAAGAGATTCATGTTTAGCTGTACACAAGCCTAAGATCACTAGTCACAGTGCCAAGTGTAGGCTGGAGTGGTGTAAAACACACCACAACTGGACTCTGAAGCAGCGGTAAAGGTGTTCTGTGTGGTGATGAATCACCCTTTTAAATCTGGCAGTCTGATAGATGAATCTGTGTTTGGAGGATGCCAGGAGAATGCTTCATACCAGGCTGCATAATGCAGTAAATGTTGGTGGGAAAATGGTCAAGGATGATGTTAATGCTAAAGCATACAAAAACTTTTTTGGGCATTTTGCTTCCAACTTTGTGGCAACAATTTGGGGAAGTCCCTTCCCTGTTCCAGCATGACTGTGCCACTGTGCACAAACTGAGGTCCATAAAGACAAGATTTGACATGTTTGGTGTGGAGGAACTTCAGTGGCCTGCACAGAGCTCTGGCCTCAACCCCACTGAACACCTTTGGGATGAATGTGAATGTTGTGAGCCAGGCCTTGTCATCCAGCATCAGTACCTGACCTCATAAGTGCTCTTTTGACTGAATGGGCAAAGGTTTTCACAGACACACTCCAATATCTTGTAAAACCTTTGCAGAATTGTGGAGGCTGCTATAGCCACAAAACAGGGACAACTCCAGATTAACATTTATTGATTTGGAATTTGCCATTCAACAAACTCATAGGTGTGATGGTCAGATGTCCTCAAACCTTTGGCCATATAGTGTACCAAATATCATTGAATTATTTACAAAGATAACATTGCATAAGGCCACTCTGAGAATCTGTTCTGATTTAAGAGGTCTAGAAAAAGTGAAAACATGAAAACAAGTTGTGATTGGCGTGTGTACTGTAAGTATAGTTAGTTCTGGAAAAATCTAACCAGTGTGTTGGGCATAAGTTAAACATTGTTCGGGTTAAACTTGTGAATTATGTCATACATTCAACCATCCATTCTACCATGTTTGAACAAAAAGAAAAGGCTGAAACTCCAGCAGTCCATTGGATTTAGACCCACACATCTACCTTTCTCTTTCATTTTGCTAAGCAGGTCTTGTGTTGAGTTTCATAACAAATGGGTCTAATACACGGTTTGGGTTCCCAGAAGCATACATGTGCAAAGACCCTTGTAAGATCAATTGTAGGAACCACTGGGTTTTTCTATGCCACCATAGTCATTTACTTCTTTTGGGAGCAGCACAATAGACACAGCTCAAGCATAAATACTATTATTTAGCCAAGATAAACAACATTGTGTGTAAAAAAAAAAATATATATATATATAAATAAATAAATAAATAAATAAATGAAAGACATTAAAGACATTAATCACCCTAAAGTACCCAGTGTACCCTGCTTTGTTATGTCCATAGCCAATAATTGCAGGGTTCCTAGGGTCTCTTTTCACAAGTACAGTTTCAATGCCATTGATAGATGATTGAATTTCTCAATATTATTTTACCTTTTATTCTCCTTGCATGACATTTTTGTGAGTGTGTAGTAGACAATGTAAGCTTGTAGAGTTTATTTTGAACAGAGAGAAACTGAAAGCATCCTCAAACAAAAAAACCCACCCCCTGATGTAAGCTCCTAACTGTATAAAAGGCATCAAATGTGTTGCTCTGAACATCTGCAAAGATGTTGAGAATCATCTACCTGACCACCTTCGCAGCACTTGGTAAGTCCTGACGGAATACTGGTGCAAAATACAAACAGAGATTCACATTCATTTATTTGTCTGTGTTTTATATGAATTATCTGAAGAACATTTAACATCAAGAATAATATGTGTTAAGAATACAAGGGCTTTATAAGGATTCTCCACCTTCTTCAGTAAGAATTCCAATTTCTCTGATATTGATAGTTTTGTATTTTCTCTCAATGACAGTCCTGGGTCAGCCAGAGCCTGGGCAAATAATTCAGACCAGAGTTATTTGGGGTGACACTGCAAGACCGAACTCTTGGCCATGGCAGGTAAACAATGTTACTAAAGGGCAGCTTAATTTCAAGAGGAACATTTCCATAGCTGTTCTTTTGGTATAGAGGCCGGGACGTTATGTAGATTTTGTCATTATATACAAACACTACACAAAATATCCTGCCCATGCCATTTGATTTGTATTGTGCTTGTCAGTGTTTCGTTTCGGTCTTTACCCCAGGCTTCTCTGCAAGTCCAAAATGGCTTACGCCACAGTCATGTCTGCGGAGGTGTGCTGATCAAAAAACAATGGGTGTTGACAGCTGCTCGCTGTGTAGATGGGTAAAAACAATAGTGGTATCTTGTATCAGCGATTTTATAATATATATGTTGCTTGCCTAAGTTGTGCAGCAAATTGGCTTTCTCTGTTAAATAAGTTTTTTCTTTTTGTTGTCCTCAGTGTTAATGTATCCCAAGTCGCTCTTGGTGATCATGACCTGATGAAAAATGAGGGCAGGGAGCAGGTCCTCAAAGTGAAACGTACCTATATCCACCCTGACTGGGACAAGAATCAAGGGTCTGTTGTGGACAATCAATCATTCCTTTGTGTTAATGCATGATTTTTCATAGCTTATGTTAGTGCCAACCCTTAGAAGAAAACAATTCATGTATCTTGCTTTAAGCTGGGCATACACAACACACCTTTCCAACTTTTCGAAAAAGGGGAGCTTCTCACACTCAACGTCAGACTTTTAGAGAATTTCTTGTGTTTTTATTATAAGGGTACTAGACATTAAGAGGACACAAAGAGTTTTGGCTACAAACAAAGTTCAAACTGGAATGGACATGTTTGAGCTCTTATATATATATATATATATATACACACAAGAAACAAACACTGTGGATGAACATGGGGTTGAGAAAAGCATAAATATTCTGAGAAAAGTGAAAACATTCAGAGCTGATATACTACAAACTGGCAGCTGATTTGAAATTGTAAAGGGAGTGCCATGATGTCTGGCTCCATACATTATAAACATTGTAAAGGCTTTATTTGCCAGGGTTTTCTTTCTGCTAGCTCTCTTATTGGTTGTTCCTGTATGACTTTTTCAATTACATTGCTGACCATCTGACACTACAGGACTCATGAATGTTTTCAGTAGTACACATCAAACATGCTTGAAAAAATCAGAATCATTTCAGCACTAGATGACCATGCTAAAGATTGGCTCGTTTCCACTTTCACATTACCAGATCATCCACACTGTCAGTTGTTTCTGTGTCAATACGTTGAAGGGGGTAAAGTCAGGCAAAAAATCTTGTACTGTAGGCCTGGTTATAAAAATCTTTCAGATATTTAAAATGAACGAGAGTCTAGAGTCAATTACAAAATGTATTACTGTTGTTGCCCTGACTTCAGGAATGACATTGCCTTGATCCTTCTGCCCACTGAGGCCACTCTAAACTCTTACGTGAAGCTGGCTACCCTGCCTTCCTCAGACCAGATGCCCTCTGCCAAATGGACATGCTACATCACTGGCTGGGGAAGCACAGAAAGTGAGTAATAGCCTGTGCCCAGTGTTGGTCAGTACAGCCAAAGACATTCTCTCTGGGGGACAATGAGCCTGCACCTTCTTTACCAAAGACATTGTGGTTTCTAAAACCATCAGATTATAAAATAAAGCTAAATCAGACAGCAAAAGCATTCTAAGTGACTTCTATCACCATCAGCTCTTTTAACTTAGCTTTTAACTACTTTTTTTTTTTTTAATACCATCATATAACGTATACCCCAGTGCAATGTCAGGAAAATATGAAGATGTGACAAATATAAACTGCCCAAGCCTAATGAGTAAAATAATTCCATTACAGTTTGTGAGAAGTAATTAGTAATTTGTTATGGATTGTTTTTTGAGTGACCCCAACACTAGTAGTTAAGAGAATCGGTCATGTTCAGAGCTTAAGGGGAAAAACACGCAGTTGTCAGGATGTTTGAAATGTGACACAAGAAGTCTTGTTGAATTGAAACATGAAACCATGAATTATTACCTGTACTTTCTCTCTATTTCTCTCCCTCACAAGCAGCTGGTGGCTCACACTCTGATGTACTGAAGCAGGCCTCCCTGCCGATAGTCGAAATCCCTTCTTGTCGTTTCACTTATTGGTCACTGGACTCTGCTATTAAGGACAACATGATCTGTGCTGGTGGTAGAATAAGTTCTGGCTGCAACGTGAGAGCAACTTGCTTTTTTTTTTTTTACACATTGTTTTATGGAAATGCTACATTCATAAATCCATTGAAAGGTTAGCAGTTTAAAGTATCAAACTGTTAAAGAGTCTCTTATTATAGGGTGACACTGGTGGCCCTCTGAACTGTCTGGTCGGGACAAACTATATTGTCCATGGACTGACCAGCTTTTGGGATCCTGCAGGCTGCAGCAAAAAACCCACTGTCTTCACCCGTGTGTCTGCCTTCTTACCATGGGTGCAGTGTGTAAGTAGATACAAGATATTTAATTTAGAAAATAATAACTTTCTTTTGAATAATTCCAATGATTTCTCTGTTGTTCTATGATGATCTATGTGGAACATGACTGATTGAGACCATGATGTTTTTATCCACAATAGATGACAGGCTAGATGGAGTGCAGCACAAACTGATGCTGTTCTGAGACTGTGGGAATCCAACAATTTCTTCATTTAGAGTTAGCTATTCTACAATCAATATATCCAAATCTACATTACAAGCATATGAATCAATACAAATCAATAAAGATCAGAAATTAAAGCATAAATCTGTTTATTTGTGTCATATTATTGTTTTTATTTTCACCAGACTTACGATGTAATCATTAGATCTTCTCTTGATACATTATTTGCCATAAAGCTGAAGGACAGAGTTGCAGATGTGCTGATAACTTCATAAGCACAACTCTAGATGCAAAAAACGATGCTCAACAAGTTATTTACACCATCATAGTTTAGAGATAATGAGTTCATTAACTTAGCTAAAAAAATTGCAAGAAGTTTCACTGAAGCATTGGGATGTGTTGTGTACTATCATGTCTGAATGGACTCCACCTGCTGAGAGGTCCTGGGGAGCTTGATTACTGTTGGCTTTTCCACTCTCCAAGCTGAGCATCATGTCTGCAATGTATTAGTCTTCTACTAATCACACTCATTTACCAGGCATCTGCTCTGATATTGCATTGCAAAAAGCCACTTCAGGTTATGATGCTATCCTCCACCTCAGCAGGTGTTAAAGGACAGATGAGGCAAAATATCATGTGGTTGCGATAGAGACACAATGGCCAATTGAACTAAGAAGCCATTTAATGGATGCTTCTTGGATCAGGTGCTAGCATTATATCTTTTTAAAAAGCACATGTTCTCAAACGTCCTATAATATTTCAAACATTTTTGATTGGGGGTATCACAGTGCTGGACAATAATAACATAATTGGTATTGTAATATTTTCCAAATATATCATGGCATAAGGTAATATTGGAGTGCCCTAGTAAATTTCTGTCTAATAATTCCGCTGTAAATAGCTCAGTGTCCGTGTCATCTTAATTATGCATGCCTTAAATTTAAAAGTTACCAGTGTCTACATGGTAAAACAAACAAAGGAACAAGAGTTTTGGCATCACACAGAGCCATACCCACCTTCTGAGTTCTGGACCTCTAGATTTTTCCAAGGTGTATATAATAAAAGTTATGAAATAATTGCCTAGAACCAACTCTACTTTGGTGCTGCCAAGATATTGTACAACACCAAGAAAACCAACTTTCTCATCTTATCCCTGACATGATTGCTTTACTAAGCACTCTCAGAAAAAAGGGACAAAACTGTCACTGGGGCAGTGCCCCTCTTGTCACTGGTGTGGGACCCCAAAGGATACATCTCAGTACCTTCAGTCAGGGAACATAATTGTTCCATAATCCATTTAAATTACATTTTCTAAGCTGTACTGACTCCACCCACCCCGTCTCGTCTCCAGCCTTTTTACTTTATTTCTAACCGTGAGGGTTGAGTGAATAATCTTCCTGTCATTAGTAGAAATTCTTTATTCAACACGGCAGTTGAATGTCTGCCTATGTGATAAAGGTAACTAGAATTACTGGTGGACTGTTTAGTTCAATGCAGTTCATCCCTAGACATCGGGTGTGTCCAAGTTCCTAGTGAGCTATCATGATGCCAGTGTTGCATCTGATTCAGATCCCCTGATAAATCAAATCATGCATTAACACAGCATTGCAACAATAGAAAGCTAAAAGGGTCAAAAAATTCCAATGCCTGAATATAATAATCTACTTCTCCTTGAGGCTTATTGCTTTCCATAGTTGTACAATGCTGGGGACTTAATTCATGAAAGTTTTAAGTTTTTAAGAATTTAAGGAGGAACTGAATTGGATGTAACACAGGCTAGTAAGTTTCACTTAAGTGAATTAACTAGCTAGCTAGCTAGCTATCTAACATTGATTGAATGAAATAATGCAGTTTTAACTCAGTTTTTTGAAACCCAGCATACTGCAACACACGTTTTAAAAATGGTTCATCATTTCTACCTAAAAAAATTACTTCATGTAGTAATAAGCAATTGAACCAGTTTATTCAACTCAAAAGTTTACTTTGATTGAAAGAATCATTTATTCAAAGTATTTAGGGTGAAAAACTAGTGAATGTACATTAAGTACTTTTTTAGGTTAAACTGATGAGACATTTTTTACAGTGCATGTGTAATCTTTACAAATGATCTCTCAAAGGCATATTCATCTTAACAAGGCTTTAGCTGAGGATCTAATGATTGAAGTTTAGATATATATTGGGAAGAATATGCAGAACAAATCTCAAAAAGTTGCAGGTTGTGCTGACAAATGGGCTGCAGACATTCTCAAATGTTTTCAAATCTGCACTGAGTAAAGTAACCCGATTACAGTTTGAGAGGTAATTAGTAATTTGCAATGTTACTAAATATAGTATCTAATAAATATATGTAAATACTGCCATCGTGTTGTTTTTTCTTACAGTGAAGATTTAGGTTTGTCTTGTAAAGACAAGCAGTTTTGGAGCATTGGTTCTCCTGGCTGGCTTGCCAAAATGATCATCTTGCACCACTAGGGCTTAGTTTACATGAGCCAATGAGAAGGGTGGCCTTGGATTACACGTCAGGGCAATATTGTCAGCTAACAGATAATGGAAAATACCCATCTCAATGGGTATACAGAAGTGCTAGAAAAAGAATGTAGCCATTCTTAGGTTCGTCTCACAAAGAGAACTTATTGTAGATCAGCCTTCATCTCACTGGAGAGGAGAATTTCCAGAAGAAGAACTGTTAAACCAAACATTTTGTTGTCACTGAAGCTAGCATCAGCCCCACTATGGTAAGTGAGTTAGCAGCTGGAGTAGCCAGCCAACAAGAGACCCCTGAATACCAGGGAGTATTTCATACATAAGTAACCCTATATTCATTGAGAAGAACAGAAGTACCACTGATGATCCTCTGCTTGTGTTTTGGTCAAATTGGATTGATTTTTACTGTCCATATTGGTGCAATATACTTTAATTATTTTACCTGCATTTATTATTTGTATCTTATATAAACAACAGTATATAAGGAACATTACACATGCCAAAAGTGAGAAGTGCTAAGAATATTTAAAGGCTTTGTAGGAATCCTCCACCTTCTTAAGTAAGAATTCCAATTTCTTTGGTAAGACTTTGAAGATTTTTGTGTTTTTCTCACAATGACAGTGCTGGCTCAGCCATGGCCTGAGCAAAATATTTAAACCATTCAGTAAAATGAGGTGTAAATAACAAGAGGAGCTACCATACCTTCTTCTTTAAGTAAACAATCTTGGAATGTTTGTAGAGGTGTGATCAGTCCAGTCTATATTTGAGGTGAAAACCGAGGTATTTAAGAGTTGTCAGAAGAAAACCTTGTATCTTCATTTTTGACGTTTTTTCAGTTTTTGACGACATTTGAAAATAGCTGTTACCTTTTACATTATCTGTTAATTTCAAGACAAATGGACTAAAAGAAATGACCCAAAATGACTTGGAAAAAAAGTCTGGTTCCATTGACTTACATTAAAACTGAAGTAGGTTTTTTCCTTCTCCTGTAAAGTTACCATTTGGAGATACAAGGTTTTCTTCCAACAACAGAGATCTGTAACATTATTCTAGCAGAAATTCACAGGAATTGACATGAAAGGTAATCACAGACATCACTCATGGTGTCAAACACATCACACTTGAGAAAAACTGACTAGAAGGATCTAGAAATAAACTAGAAGGTTCAACAGGCAGTGATTGACAGAGATATTGACATTCAGAGACATTGACATATGCATAACTTTAAATAGTAAGTGATAAAAATGTACAGAATGTCAATGTCACTTCAGCTTGGTTCATGCTGCGGGTTGAATCGTGTATCTAACTTTTTAAACTTCTATATATTTCAAGTTACAGGTGATTAAATCTGATTTGTATGGTTAGAATGTAGTCACATATTGCCACATTCACACTGGTTGCCGTAGTAATGACACATGCATGCACATGCACAAAGAAAACAAGCTAGGGGCAAAACTTTATTTCCTACAGCTAGAACAGAGCATGACATTGGTGTAGCCTGACCTTGTCAGAAGACTGCTAACATGCAATAGGCTGTAACAGTAAGGTCTAGGTCAAATAAGATTTAAGTTCAAATGATTTAATGAAGCAGGCATTATAATTACAACTTACAAAGTAAAAAAAAAAAATACCTAAATGTCCACGTAACCCAGCAGGCTCAGCTCAAAAAAGGCAATGTTGGGGGTCCACCAAGGTCCAATATGGGGGACTGGTGCAGTGCTGTATAGGTGGGATGGCAGGGAGGTCCTCTGTGGCATTGACCCCTGTGGCAGAAACTGGATTGTTACATTGAATGTAACCTTACTGGGAGGAAGGAGTTACCGGAGTTTGCAGGGGACATTGAGAGGTACCAACTAGATATAGTTGGGCTCACCACAGTGTCAGCTCTGGAACCAAACTCCTTGATAGGGGTTAGTCTCTCTCTCCTTCTCAGGAGTTGCACAAGGTGAGAGGTGCTGGGCAGGTGTTCTGATACTCATGAGTCACTGGCTGGCTGCTATGCAGTTGGAGTTTGTCCTGGTGGATGAGAGGGTCGCTTAAAATTGCAGGGAGGAAAGCCCTGACTGTTGTGTGCGCTTATGCACCAAATAACAGTTTGGATCAATCTAAACTCGAATGGTGAATTGTTATTGGATGTCTGTGCTAGGCATGGATTGTCCATAACAGACACCAAGTGTAAACACAATGTTCATAAGTTATGTTGTACCACAGCCTCTTTGTCAATAATTGATTTTGGTTTGTTTCATCTGACTTGTGACCATATGTTCTGGACACACGGGTGAAGAGAGGTGCTGAGCAGATCAGATGGCAGGGAAGATTGATGGTCAGACCTGGAAGGCCCAAGTGACTAGTCAGGGTTTGCTGGGAATGACTAGCAGAGGCCCCTGTTCAGAATGATTTTAATTCCCACCTTCGGGGGAGCTTTCCTCATGTTCTGGAGGAGGAAGGGGACAGGAAGTCTAAATGGACCCTTTTCAAATCCTCCATTATGGAAGCTGCCAGGCGTAGCTGTGGCCAAAAGCTTGGTGTCTGTCAGGGCAGTAAAGCCAAGAACCCCCTGAACCAGTGGTGAGATAGGCTGTCAAGCTGAAGATGGAGGCCTTTAGGGACTGGATGGCCCTGAGGACTCCCGACTCAGCAGATAGGTACCGGCAAAATCCAGGGCATGGGAGGTGTTTGGCGAGGCCATGGAAAAATACTTTCAGTTGGCTTCAAGGAGGTTCTGGACAATTATCTGGTGACTCAGAAGTGGTCGGGTGGCTTTGCCCAAACTGTACTTGGCGAATGCAGGGACACTCTGTATTTTAAATGAGGATATTGTCCATCGGTGGAAGAAGTACTTTGAGGAGCTCCTTGACCAGACAAACATGCCTCCCTCACAGGAGTCAGGGCCAGAGGCTTCTGGCATGTCAGACTCCATTTCCCTGGTGGAGGTCGCTGAGGTAGTTGTCAAGCTTCTCAGTGGTAGGGCACCAGGAATGGATAAGATTCACCTGGAAATACTTAAAACTCTGGGTCTTGTGGGGCTGTCCTCTGTGTATGCGGATCAGCACCTCCAAGTCTGAGTCTATGGTCCTAGTCCAGAAAAGGATTGCATGCCCACTCCAGGTAAGGGGAAAGGACCTGCCCCGGATGGAGGAGTTTAAGCATCTCGGGGTCTTATTCACAAGTGATGGGAAGAGGGTGGTGGGCTACACTCTACCTAATAGAGTGAAGAACTCTGTCATCCAGGAGGAGTTTAGAGTAGAGCCGCTACTTCTCCACATTGAGAGGAGCCAGTTAAGGTGGTTCAGGCATCTGATCAGGATGCCCCTGGCTGCCTCCCAGGGGGGGTTTACCAGGCATGGCCTACTATGACGAGACATCGGGGTCAATCTAGGACCCACTAGAGGGATTATATCTCTAAGTTGGCCTGGGAGCAGCTTGGGGTCCCCTGGAACAAGCTGGAGGAAGTTGTGGGGGACAGGGTCATCTGGAATTCTCTGTGCTCCCACCTGCTACTGTGATCCTGTCTGGATTAAGCAGTAAAGATGATGAAAAAATAAATTAATTAATAAATTAATGTCTATTGAAAGCTTTTACTCTCTGTGTCTAAGCTGTAATATATGAATGTGCACCGGAGACTTTCCTCTCGCATATTCTGACATCATGAATTTCAGATTTATAAGGCTATTTGGCATTCATACTTCAGAACGTGTCCTGCTCAAAGTGGACATGCTGAAAAATTAGATTTGAGCTGCCTATCTGAACAATGATAGGAGGTCATTCCATTATGTGGTGGGTAGTGTAGTAGAAAGTGGACATCCCTTGAAGGCAACCCCTTTTTCTGTGATGTCATTCATGAAAACAATACCTTCACCTTGGAATATTAACCCATATGAAGGGGTAGGGGGGTATGTACCCGGTTAAATGTCCCGATGGCAGTCCGGTGCTTACCTCATTGCTCCGACACAGGGGCATCGAAGCTACATGTACTGAGGAGCACATTGCATGTTATTTCGTTGAAATTGCTTCGTCCTAGCAAGAGTTATTACAGAATATTCGGGGCCTCTTTCGAGTGAATCTCCCTGTATGATCTTGTAATAAGATGGAATCAAAAAAGGCAGATATTAATAGAAACAAAGAGAAACATGTATTTTTGCAGTGCTATAACATGAATAGTTCAATTTTCTCATTTTAGCAATCATCAATAACTCAAAGATAGCATCAGCGTCATTCATCAAACTGCCTAAACTAATTGGTACTGGGGTTAACATCTTGGCGAGCCAGCCAATAGAAATACTTATGCAAATTCAGCTCTCTCTTTGAGATGAATCTAAGAATTTTTGAACACTCATGTTTCAAGCAAACATTTAGTGCATCATACATTTTAATTAAAAAGGTATAAAAGTAACACATTTTTTATCAGCCCATTTCCAAAAAAGTTGGGACGCTGTGCAGAATGTAAATAAAAATAGGATGCAAAGATATGCAAATCATGTAAACCATATTTTTAAAGGGAAATACTACACAAAATAAGACAACATATCAAATGTTGAAACTGAGAAATTTTATTGTTTTTTGGAAAATATATGCCCATTTTGAATTTGATGCCAATAACACCATCCATTTTAGGATATTTGCCAATAACAAATATCCAAAAAAGTTGGGACAGGGGCATGTTTACCACTGTGTTTCATCACCTTCTATTAACAGCACTCTATAAGCATTTGGGAACTGAGGAGGCCGACTGCTGTAGTTTTGAAAGTTAAATGTTTTTCCATTCTTGTTTGATACAGGATTTCAGCTGCTCATCAGTTCAGGGTCTCTTGTCGTATTTTTCATTTCATAATGTGCCAGATGTTTTCAGTGGTGACAGGCCTGGACTGCAGGCTGGCAAGCTTAACACCCGGACTCTTTTAGTATGGAGTAATGCTATTGTAATACATGCAGAATGTGGTTTGGCATTGTCTTGCTGAAATAATCAAGGCCTTCCCTGAAAAAGACGTTATCTGGATGGCAGCATATGTTGCCAAAACATGTATATATCATTCAGCATTAATGGCGCCTTCACAGATGTGCACATCACCCATGCCATGTGCACTAATGCACCCCTGTACCATCATGAATACTGGCTTTTGAACTGTGCACTGATAACAAGCTGAGTGGTCTTTTGCCCGGAGGACACAGTGTCCATGATTTCCAAAAAGAATTTCAAATGTTGATTCGTCAGACCACAGGACACTTTTCCACTTCTCCTCAGCCGATTTTATTCATTAATTGTGTAGCATCCCTTCTTTTAACAAAAGTCTGTAAATATCTGGGAAGTGAGGAGACCAGTTGCTGCAGTTTTGGGAGAGGAATGTTGTCCCATTCTTGTCTGATGTAGGATTCTAGCTGCTCAACAGTCCTGGGTCTTCTTTGATGGATTTTTCATGTCATGATGCACCAAAAGTTGGTGACAGGTCTGGACTGCAGGCAGGCCAGTTCAGCACCCAGACACCCAAAAATCTCAATTTTTGGAAGTAGGGTTGTACGTTGAGAAACGTTAGTCTTGAATTGTTACTATATTTGATCGTGCAGCCTTTAACAGAGTGGTGAACCCCTACTGATCTTTATGTCTGAAAGACTCCGCCTCTCTGGGATGCTTTTTGTATACCTAATTATGTTGCCAATTAACCACCAGGTGTTTTTTTGTGGGGCGGCACGGTGGTGCAGTGGGTAGCGCTGTCGCCTCACAGCAAAAATGGCCTGGGTTTGATTCCCGGCCAGGCGACCAGGGTCATTTCTGTGTGGAGTTTGCCTGTTCTCCCTGTGTCTGCGTGGGTTTCCTCCGGGTACTCCGGTTTCCTCCCACAGTCCAAAAACATGCAGTCAGGCTGATTGGACATGCTGAATTACCCCTAGGTGTGAGTGAGTGTGTGACTGTGTATGTCTGTCTGTCTGCCCTGCGATGGACTGGCGACCTGTCCATTGTGTATCCTGCCTTCCGCCCAATGACAGCTGGGATAGGCTCCAGCACCCCACCGCGACCCAGAAGGATAAGCAGTTTAGAAGATGTATGTGTTTTTTTGTTTTACTGTTACACAAGTGTACTAGCCTTTTGTTGCCCCGTCCCAACTTTATTGGAACGTGTTGTTGGCATCAAATTCAAAATGAAATACTTTTCAAAAAACCATTCAAATTCTCAGTTTCAACATTTGATGTGTTGTCGTTGTACTATTTACAATATAGAGTTTAAATTATCTGCACATCATTGTATTTTGTTTTTATTTACATTTTCCACAGTGTTTTTGTAAATGGGGTTGTATTTACTATGTAAACTCATGCTTCCTGTTCATGCTGTTTTGAGATGAGTAGCTAATCATTGGATGCTGTAATTTTAGTGTTTTAATATGAACAGTAAACTTCAATAAGCATTGAAAAGTGTCATTCATCAGACCAACTACAATGATTTCTAGTGGTGTGGAGTCAGGGAGGTTTCTGAACTTTTGAAGGCCCTAAGTGATGTCCCCCACTCACCCCAAACATTCTTTTTTATGCAAGAATACAAAAGGAATTCATATATAAGTTTGATCAAGAAACAAATAAGAAAATCTCTAGACTCGCTGTATATTGATCCATTTGAATACTACAGACCCCCCACCCCCACCCCACCACCCCCCACCCCGGTGGCTTGGGGGGCTCTAAGCTGCTTATACCACTTATAGTAAGGAAAAGCAACAGAGCCATGCATGGAGTTAGCATCAACACAGAAATCAGAGTCAAAATGCATCTTCAGAAACTCTTGCATTTTGATCTCTGTTCATGAATACAGCAACACAGCTGCAGTTCTATTCATCATCTTTGAAGCAAATAAAATGGCAAGAGCACCATTTTTTGTATAATTAGGAGAGATAGAAATGTAGAAGAAAGTAAAGTCACTTGGCTCAAAGAATGAGATAAAAAAAAAATGTTATTTAAGGTTCAAAGTTTATTGATTTATGATTAACACATTGATTGGAATACAATGATAATGTAGGTCATTTCAAAATTCAAAAATTGTTCGTAGAACTCCTTCCTCTCGTTCTCAGAAGTGTGTACCCTTCTTTGGTTACGTTCCGTTTACCCTGTGATCTAATATAAAAATAAAAATGAAAATAAACATTCAGTCAGAAGTACTGACTGATTGGAGTTGTTGCAGAAATTCTAAAATTAATGTAAAATAATTGTTTTGCAATAAACATGATCAATATCAATCATATACTTACACTCTGCATCCAGGAGAGGTAGGCAGACACACGGGTGAAGACGGTGGGTTTTCTGATGGTGTTGCAACCAGCAGAAGACACAAAGCTGGTGAGTCCATGGACTACATACCTGCCACCAACCACACAGTTCAGGGGACCACCACCATCACCCTACAGTGAGACATCATGAGATTAGCACTTCTTTTACAGAAATACAACAGGTAACTGTATTGAGAATAAGACACAGCTCTCACATTGCAACCAGCAGCAGTTCCTGCACCGCCAGCGCAGATCATGCTGGTTTTGACAGCAGTGCCCCACCAGGTGCTGCTACTGCAGGTAGCATAGTCGACTGAAGGCAGTGAAGCCTGTTTCAGCTGAGCAGAGAGAACACCACCAGCTAGGAGCGACAGAGAGGGAGGAGACCAGCTTAAACTGAGCCTTCAAGTGGCAATAAAAACAAAAGATCATGGCATCCATCAGCCAAGGCTTGCTATCATAAATGGATGTGGAGATATCATGACTTTCAATGTTATTGTTAAGATATAGAGGTGTTGCTCACTCTGTGTGACCCCCCAGCCGGTGACATAGCAGGCTGTGTTGCCAGCGAGGACCTGGTCTACAGGAGGCAGAGAAGCCAGCTGCACGTAAGAGTTTAGGATGGCATCGGAGGCCAGACGGATCAGGGCAATGTCATACCTGAGGTAAGAAGAGGAACATTGATCATTTACTGATTAGTGTACTTAATCATAATCTACATAAACCTACACAGGTCTCCCATAACTTGTCAAATGCCCTCACATAAATTCTCCAATGCTTTTTCAATACAGTTGAAAACAAACCCTGATTTGGTATATAAGATTTTGTCATGGTTCTTTTAACTTCAAAAAGGTTCCAATGGAAATCATGAGAGATTATAGCAGATAATGCAATGTTATTAAACGTCATTTCCTATAATGTGATTTCTCCTTTTGATATAATCAACACAGCTCAAATAAACATGAAACAATGTCCAACATACCCAGCAACCAGATCGCGCTTCCAGCTAGGGTGGATGTAGATGGCACTGATTCCAATGTACTGCTCCTTGCCACTCTCAGGTACAGTCAGATCGTGATCACCAAGGACAACGACGGACACCCCAGTGCTAAATTAGAGAACAAAAAAGACAAACTGTTCAGTGTGTGAAATTTAAGACTATAGGTTAGCAGTGGTTGCAGATGCTTGCTTACCCGTCCACACACTGAGCAGCAGTCAGCACCCAGTTCTTTTTAATCAGCACTCCTCCACAGTAGTGGTTGTAGCATGTTCCACTCTGAACTCGCAGTGAGACCTGTGGAAATGAACATGAGAGATATGTTACTTGGAAGAGTGTGTTTTATTCGCATCTGCAAGGCCCACATTTCATACATCATTGTATTTACCTGCCAGGGCCAAGCATTGGGAATGCTTACTGAACCACCAATCACTCTGTTCTGCCCTTGCCCCTGTCCGGCTTGATTAAAGGGGACGACAGACTGACCCAGCACTGCCATAATAGAGAAAACGCACAAAATCAGACAAATCAGCTTAAGACAAATAAACAATTCAATCAAGTTTAATAGACCTGCAGTTCAGATAAACAATGCACAGTTCAGACAGGACTTACCAAGTGCTGCCAAAGTGGTGAAGTAGAGGATTCCCAGCATCTTTGCAGATGTTCAGGATGATGTGCAGAGCAGAAAGTTTTGAAGCCTTTTATACAGTTAGGAATGGGGTGGGGTTGGATACACTTGACTACATTTGGCCAATGGTCATGCGACTTTAACATAGCAGGCAAAAAAATAAACAAAACAAAACATCACCCACTTTTTTTCCCTTAAGGAAATCAAGGTTAAAGTGTAGGTATTTGAGAAATGTCTTTGCCACTGTGCACGTATAATCAACTTTTGGGAACCTGTAGTCGTTAAGGCAGTTTGGGCAGTCGTTACAGATACTCAAGTGAAACCGGTTTTAACACCTGACTGGATCAAAGAACTCTGTCTTGTTTTGCCAAGTTTTTTCCAAAATTATACTTCTTCAGCTACAATGATACTATTAGGGCTTAATCATAGTTAATGAGTTTTGCCTGGAGGAAATACCTCAGTTACCTTTAATGGACATCTTCTGAAGTTTAATGGATGACTAAAGGAAATGTTAGGAAACATGACCCCATGTCAGTTGTGAACAACAAAACAAATTACAGAAGCCAAAAAATGCCATTTGTGCTGTTTTTAATAGCCATCTTTGTGGAGAGGTAATAGTGTTCGCAGCAAGGGATTCTCACCTCTCCTCTTCCACACAGTACTTACTAGTAGCTCAACAGAGTCACAACATTACACACACACATTATTTTGTATAAGCTTACGGCCACCACCCTGAGGGGAAGGTCTTTGGTGGCAAGCCAGACCCTGGCCAAAATGAGGGTCCCAGGTGTCGCTTGCTGTCGGCAGCTAGTTTTTGTGAGGCTGAAGCATTTTGCCGTGCAGCGTGACCCTTTTGCCACACCCTTTAGCATCACTGCACTAGCTGATGGGCTGCAGGGACTGCAACCTCCATCTCCTGCTCGGGGAACATGGGCGGAGGATACCTAAACTGGCACCTGAAGGGAGAAATCCCCAGCGATGTGTGCTATTGGGCGTTATGGGCATACTCTGCCTAAAAGTGGTGCTTAGATCATGTAGATGGTCTAAAGAAGGCTGCCTCCCAGGCCGACGGTGGTCTGGGTGCTGCAAAAAATTTGCAGTCCTTGGAAATCTGGTCGACCACAACCATATTCACCATGTTGCCCTGTGACATGGGCAACCTGATGACGAAATCTAGGAAGATGTGGGACCAGGGTCGAAACCGTGTGGAAAGGGGATAGAGCAAGCCTGTTGGTCATGTATTAGTTTCCTTGCTCTGAGTGCATACCCTGCAGGCCGCTATGTAAGCACTTACATCCTTCTCCATCCTAGGCCACCAGAATCAGCTCTGTAGGAACTCAAGAATTTTAGCTTGGACACAGGACAGAATGTACTGCAACATGATATTGCTGAAATGCATGTACAGTATGCGATATTTAATATCTACCATTGTCCTGTCCATAGATATTACTCAGTCATTCTATTTAAGTACTGTACAAGTCAGAGACCACTCTAATTTCCAGTGGGGGCTGGAGTTGAAATAAAGGATGTGTTAACTTATTTTCACTTACAAAAAAAAAAAACAAACCCACAAAAACATGTCATTTGAATGTGGGTGGAGGGATTCAAACCTTTGCATATGACTGTATTGAGACAATGGGATTTCTGACAACAATGCAAGACCTGTTTGATCACCAAAAGCGTCCCCATCAGATAAAAGCTTTTATCTTTTGAGAGAGAGGAGAGAATCAAGCTCTATTTATAACTTGTACTGAATGACTGTTTAATTGGAAATTTAATAAATGAAAGGTGCTCTGAGTTTTTCATGACATTATATACTTTGTATACTTACAGATGTATTTCTAAATGTAAATAGTAAATGTTTATTTTGAAACAATAAAATTCATGAGGTAAATCATTAAATTATGTGCTGATGTATTGTTCTCAAAGTTCTACAGGTCAAAATAAATAAAAAATGAGCATTTTCAGATTTAATTTTAATTGAACATACCGTCCCAGTATACTCTCATTTGGTGCTGTATAAACGATGGACAGATTATAAATAAATAAATGTATAATTAGATAAATAAATAAACAAAACAAAACAAAGGCTTGCATGTGAGAGAACTTTCTACAGTGTGCATGAGCAGGTTTCTCAGACATTAAAGCTTTAGCCAGGAAAGATGATTAGAAAACAATGGCATGATTCTGTGACAAAGGCCATAAACCATGTGCAGAGTCAAATGGCAATTGTCATGCTGGGTCTGCTCAGAAACGAGCAGGAACTAAATCATGATAAAGTCTTACGTGAAATACACAAAGCCTGTTAGTCAAGAAAACTTCACTGAACAAGTTTTTTCACCTCCAAACATCCACCTCCAAAGGACAAGCCAAGGCTTATGTTCTATGTGGTTTGTCCAAATTAAATTATAATCCTTTTATTTACATTAAATGAGATTAAAATGCCATTAAAATTCCACATGTTGTAGAATGTAGTTGTAAGAAAGGGGGTTCTTTGGAGTGATGCAATAGAAGTTCCACTTTTGGTTATCTAAAGCAGGGGTTCCCAACCACTGGTCCAAAGACCGGTACAGGCCCATAGATTATTGGATACCTTGGCACAACAATGCAACAGCAAGCAGGAGGAGTTGGTAGCCTGACTGCTAGAACTCACTGTTTCAGTATTATCACCAATAATATTATAGTGGTAGTATTCTTAATCAAAGACTGAATTCTTCCCATTAAATTTTAGGACATTTTGAACATATCGAACATGACATTTTAATTTAGAGATGTATGAGTATGAAGAAACTTTATACCCTCTTAAAAGGCCAGCACACACATGTAGGTCCAAACTTTTATTACATGCATCTATGATTCAAGAACAAATTTCTTAGTTTGCTGCATTATTCCATGTAATTACTTTGCAAATTACTGAGTTATGAGCTTTAGCATGTAATAAACCTGGAATCAAGCTAAGAAGCATTTAGAAAGCTTTATACTGGACTGTCAAGACTAAATTTAGGAGAAACCATGTTATGCATGACATAGGTGCAGCGAAATATTGTATACATGTTTAAAACGTATTTTAAATGATACAGAGGGTGTGTGGTTGAAATGCAAATCATTGTTTACAACCTCTTAAATTTGTCTTCTGAGTGCTATTTTTGTATTTAGCATCATTTTGCTTGGAAATTTTATTTATGAAAATCACTTTACACAGCAGAAAAGGTTCTATGTAAGTAGCTGATCAGAGCTCACTGTACATTACAGGAATATATTAAGCGTGATGTATAATGAATGATTATTACTTTGCATTGTTTCATTTAAGATGTTCATTTGAGTTGAAAAACAGTTAAATTGCTTGTTAGCAAAATGAAATTTTTTGGATTGGTTGGATGGAAGAACCATTATTTTTACAGTGTGGATAACGAATGGAAGCTAGTAGCCACCAATTAGCATGACACTGTTGGCATCATGCTAACTGTTGATCATTTGTCTTCATGCGCTATGAGAAACATTAACATTTTAACTGAATTTTTACCCCTATAAATAAAAATCAAAGCATCTGGAAGTCAGAATAGCATTTCTGACATTAGATAATGTAGACGCCATTATTGTGAGAAGAAAATGCACAAAAAGAGCACAATTTGCAGGTGATGGTGTTCTCTGAACAAGGAACTAGCCACCTTATCATCATGAAATTTTGTTTTGTGTGAAATTTGTTTTTGTGTTTGTTTAAATTTCATTGGAAAAAAGACAATGAAAAAAAATACCATTTTATTTAGTTACTGAGGCTTTGTGTAAGTTTCTGTTAAATAAATCCTCCACTTATTTTACTCCATCAGTAGAATTCTTCTCATTGTTATAACTCCTGAAAGGTTTGTTAAAGCATAAGTATAAAGGTAAGATGAGGTTCCTTAAACATGTCACTTCTTTTTAAACCCTTTAATTCTGAAGGGTTTTAAAAACATATTCATTCACATAGTCCCCATGTGAAAGAACATTCTAGATTTGCACAAGAATGTTTCTCAGACATTAAAGCTTTTGCCTGGAAGAGGAGGTCAAAAAATACCAGGGTAAAGGCATGCATATGTGAAAAGAGCCAAAACATACAGAGACACTGAAACCATAAACACAATGAAGAAGTCATTGTGAAATGAATGTGCCTTTATAATGCCCTAAAGGCCTATGAAACTAATATGTAAAAATTAACTGGTTTTAGTTTACATTCTTAGCAATAAATATGGAGAATTAAGAATTATAAATGCATATTGTGTAAATAAGTTATACATCTGCAAAGTTTATTGCTCAATTTCTATTTATTTCATAAGTTTAAAAGGAAAATACATAAAATATAAAATGTGCCAGAACCTTTGCACAGGTCAAATTTTATAATTCAGTCTTTGAGATGAAAACAAATCCTTTCAGAGTGTGATGTGAAATACTACATTTTACAGAAACTTACCAACATAGATTTCTTTACAGTGGTGGTGAAAGGAATCAGGGGTCATGATGTCTACAACACAATATAGCCATTTTATTTACTATCCAAATTAACCAGTAAGCCTGCAGGTGTTCTGAATTTATATATACATTGTTGGTGATGAGAAATTTATTGAAGAAATAAGTTCTCTTTAGTGACTATTTTGCCTTTTAACACCCTACATAGACCCTCCACCTTGAAACGAATAAAAAAAATCATTTTAGGCCAAAACATTTTCTCAAAATTATTCTAAAACAATATTTTAGACATCTTACAGCGCATTTGTAACCGTTTTAGGCAATAATTTTCTGTGAGGAAGCTTTAAAGGCATTTACCTCTTCAAATGTCTGGTCACATCACCAGCACTGTGAACAATTCTGACTCTGCTACTTTCTCCAGAACACAGTTCACATCAAACCGCTCTAAATGACTTAAGCATTGAATTCCCCTTTATTTTCACTCAGAAAATCATCAAAACTTTTCACTGTATGTGGAAAAGCTATATGACTGAAAGTAAGAACTGATGATCACATCATTATATTGTTCAATTTTATGAAAAAATAAACAATTATACTAAAGCTTTCCATGAAGAACAAAAGCTTTGAGCACCACCTCTTGCCGTGAGGCCTACTTTTTTACTTTCACTTTCCTATTTGGTTCAGAAGTTGTTCTTCAGGTTACATTTGTCTTGTTTCATCTATGCCGCCAGCATCAACCTTACAGACTATTACATTGTGTTGTTGACAGGTGTCATGCTGCAGTGTGTCTAGTAGTCAATTGTGTGTATCTGTTTT